AAACAAACAGAAAAGCCAACACACCACAAGCATACTCACAGCACAATCTCACATATCAATGACGACCTGCGCCTTCCAGTTAAAGGCATCCTCTTGCAACACAATCGCCACTTGCTAGAATGATTCTTGTAGAACGCAACGTGACTACAGCAGCACCTCATGATATTCTTCGTACATCCTCTTATCTACTCACTGCCAATTACCACTGCAATCGCTTGTCACTCATTCTGACTCAGTTCCAGTAACGGTGACGTATGCAAGCCTCAGTCGTCTACACTCTCGCTCCCCGGCGTGTGGGACCACAGCTAATCATTATCTCAGTGTTCATGTCATTCTCAGCACTAGCCTCCCCGGCGTATACGACCCATCTGCTGTCTTTAACATCAATCAATTCATTCACGGATGTAGAAGACTCGAAACAACTTCAGAAGCAAGCACGACGAAAAATTTAACAAAGTTATGCAATAACAACAAGATACGAAAACAACAAGTAAACACAATGAATCCAAAAACACCAATTGCTATGACACACCACACATATATACAAACAGTGCAAATAACCTCGCCGATCATGTCTCGATGTAATTCCTTTGAAGAATTGCAGGACTTACATAAGTACGCCTGCAACCCTTCTCAGGTTGACGATTGTAAGTTGTAGAATGTCCGGACACAAACAAGATTAACCAACAATTACAATAATTGGAACTCACACAATTATTTAACACCAACATATGTACAATCAATACATCAAATGTTGTGGATTCTGCCATGACGAACTACCCTTGAAGAACTGTAGGACTTACGGTAGTACGCCTACATTCCTTTTCAGGTTGATGATACAAGTGGAAGATGTCCAGACACAAACAAAATTACCAACAGACAGATGAAAGATGATACCAATTCAGTATATACAACATGAACATATGCACAAAATCACACACTAAGCACGTTGGACTGCTCATTGATGCTCTACCCTTTGAAGAATTGTAGGACTTACAGCAGTTCGCCTACAACCCTTCTCAGGTTGACGCTTCTGGTTGGGAAATCGTCGCAGAGTTCATTTGCTGACTTCCTTCTATTATCTATATCCTCAAATCTGAACGGTAACACGCCCATGTCATTGTATCGTAGAATATAAATGACTAACAAACACACGACGTATCTGATCAACCAAGCGTAGGCACAGAGTAATTTACACCAAAGATAATAGCATTCAAATGGTAACTTGGAACTTGAAAAACCTTTATTCACGCAAGTCAGTTTAACAATTACCCTCTCGTACACACTTGGCTTATCCTCACTAAACTGAGCAATATCTTTCGTCCTTTCAAATACACCAATACTGTCAAAGCCATTGCACAAGATACTTGAGTTGATGGGCGTCTTTTTCATTGTGGATGACAACACCAACGACGATTGATTGAAACCAGTTGATGAACTTAGCGGTGGATCAGAAGCTGTTGCGGTTCGGCTTTTAGAAGGTTGTCTAACTGCAAGACTACCACCACTGCTGTCTTTTACTATTAGCTCCGGTTTAGCACCAGCATTTGATGATAGGTGGGCTACACGCTGATCAATTACACTGACGGTCTCACAAGTATCCATACCTTCTGCAACTGCATCTGCATTTGATTCTACTTCACCTTCAAGTTGTGCAAACCCTTTGTTCAACCTAGCAGTAGTAGGCATTCCCCTTATCTCATCATGATCAACCAAAGACAAATGTGCACTATCATGATCATTGTCACGAATATTCACCTTACCATCAATTTCATCATTTTCAAACTCTTTAATAACAGAAGTAGACAATTTTGGTTCCTCCTCGCAAATCCTAAAAGGTTTTATACCTTCACTCTGACTAGTAATACCTTGTAAACTTGCGGAGTCAGAACTGGAATCTGAGACTATGACTCTCTTCTGTGACAATCTATTCAACAATGGCTTACCAGTTGCAACTACAGACTTCTTGACCGCACCGTTATCGTCACACAATTCAGAGTCAGACCTTGCATTCCTTTTTCTAACACCATCATATAACAGGCATTATTGGTATTATGGATTAATGTCCAAGAACAAATATTGCAACAATAAATCACGATATTACTTCTGACAGTTTTTTCTAGCTTCTTTCTCAACAGCGACCGATGAGACGATGACTGGCAGATTGATCACGCACGAAAATTATGGGGAAGTTGGGTCTGAGCAAACAACCAGGAATTGATCGTCCTATCTTCAAGTACATTTACAGTCTGGAAGGAAGGAAATGTCCGTACTGAATGGAGGAATCTTTACCTCATGAAACTACTAAAGAGGTGCGACTTACGCCTCACTCTGCAAGAACTGGCCAGGAATCATGCTCCTATCGACGCCACGTTAAATCTTGAATCGCATCCTCCTGGAGAGATTTAAGGACGCACTGGGGACAGAACTCCGTCCAGGTCAAGCTTGATTCAGGAAAGGCTAATCATGTACTGACCAAATTGCAACTCTACGCATCATCATCACAGAACAAAGCATGGAATGGCAATCAAACCTCTACCTCAACTTTATAGACTTTGAGAAGGCCTTCGATAGCGCTGACCACAAAGTAATTTGGAAACTATTCGAGGACTACGGCGTACAGTGTCCCAAATATTCATCAACCTTATTCAACAGCTGTACGACACAAGGCACATGTCAAGTCATCCACAACGGAAAGCTCAGCGAGGCGTTTGAAGTAAACACAGGAGTCAGACAAGTGTGGTGGCTTATTATCACCAATGATGAAAATAGTGTCAGGCAAGAATTAACTAACCTTCTTTCATCTAGTAAATAAACAATTTCCTCCATCCATCCTTACATACCTTCAAGTTTTACTTTTATTACTTCTATTATATTTATGGTCCTGTTAATTCTCTGTTTTACTCTCATAATTGCAAACACCAACTTATCTCCATGACGGCTGTAATCTTTGTTTTTCCCCTCACCATCATCATCATGTAAAGAGAACATTATATTCAATATTTTTAAACATGTTAGGATTTCCATATCACATTGACAATACTGTGTGGCACAAGCCAACGGCAATTTTCACTTGTATTCTTATTATTATTACCCTAGCTGTTATCATTATTATTGCTATTTCCATTTTATATGCTGCATGTTTTTGACACTACCTCTATTGTAAATGTGAAAAATTTTCTGTGATTAATTTTATTTATAATTTGAGGAAATTAGATGCAATATTGTGATTAATGCTGAAAATTCCATTCTGTATCACAAGTACTGTTTTTGGAATAAAGTAAATCATTATTATTGTTATTATTATTATTATGATATTCCTAATTGTGGTGGACTGACTGGATTGTGCATCAGACAGTGGGAAACGAGAAGACAGGAATATCCTGAACCGACGTGAAGAACCTAGAAGACCTGGATTTCGTGCGCGGATAATTTATGTTTGATGTCACTGTCAAAAATCGAAGACTTACAAGCGAATACCGACAAACTGGTCGTAGAAGCAGCAAAGACAGGACTCCAGGTGAACATAGACAAGACGGAGGTTATGAAAATAACCAGCCAACCAACAACAACAACAGCAGCAACATATAGCACCAATCACCATCAACAGGAGGGATTTGAAAGAGGTCACTTAATTCACTCATCCAGGGGGCATTGTCTCAACTACAGAGAGTCAGAACGGACGAGGATGTCAAATCGAGAATCGGGAAGGCGAGTGAGAAACACATTCATCAACCTGAAACCAATCTGGAAATCTTCATCACTCAGCATCACCAACAAAATTCGGATTTTCAATACAAACGTCAAGTCAGTCAGTTCTTCTATACGGATTAGAAACTTGCTGGGCGGGTCACAAAGAATATTTCCAATAGCCTGTCGCAGACCTTTATCAACCAGCAACTGTCTTCGCTGGATCTATACTGAAGATCAGATGGCCGGGTCGGAAAGAATCACCAACAAGAAACTGTGGCTGGGAACAAACAAAACAAGAAAAAACCAATCGCCAACCAACAAATATGCAGGAGAAATTGGGGATGGATTGGACACTCGCTGAGGAGACCGCTGGGTGACATCGCGTGCGTGTCAGACCATTTATCGAGTGGAGCCAGGCCGAAAGGGAAGCGGCGGCGAGTGGGACGTCAGTGCGAGGGTGACATGGAGGAGATCGTGTGAAGAGGAGTTGGAAGAGTATGGACCAACATGGATGGAGGTGAAGAGTACAGCAGAAGACAGAAGCAAGTGGAGACGTGCAGTTGAAGTTCCACTCGGAACCCAAGGGAGCGATAATAATAATATAATTACAGATCAACGTCATTTGGAAAATATCTGAGAACCAGAGAGCGTTGGATAGTCTTTTCGTCAAGGTTTGGAGACGTTCGTCCGCCCAAAATCACGAGTGGACCAAAGAAGGTGCCAAGGGTGCATCCCCATCGAGCTCAGCTCATTGATCAGTCGGCCACTCGGACTGGAACTCAGTTATAGAAAAGGTTCATATTGACAGTTTCTTCATTAATGAATCCTGTTCAGGATTCAAATAAATAGGTTCTGAGAATAGCCAATGATTGTATCTTCCATAGCTCCGTCACCATACGTGCACTGAGGTTAATATCAGAGCTGCTCCTACATCATCAGTTACACTCATGGCGATATTATGCAGGAAAATTGCCCAAAGTTAAAATATATGAAATTAACAGCTAAAATCTCTTCCTGATCAGTAATGTCCAAATTTTGTCCGTATTTTTCCAAGAAACTGAAAAATAACACTACTTTTTTCCTCTCTGCAAAAGAATTTTGATATGAAGAATATGGTGTCCACCAAACTTGTGATTATAAGTCATTTTTCAAAACTTTCTGACACATGAATGAACGCTTAATAGCTTTTTTAAAGCACTGCATATACAATAAGAGGAAATGAAGTGTGGTCTCATACATTTGTTTTATAGTAACGAATTACTCTCAACCTTGACGCAGATGCTGTAAAGCGCTGAGTTCATGTGCACATGGTAAGTTCGAAGATAAAGCAAGTAAATCCTAAGGACGCATGGTATTAATAATTTTCTGATGAGGATTTCAGCTCTTTTTATGCCTCACATTTTTAAATGATCATGGGCAGTATTCGTTACTTGAGAAGTGATTTGTAAATAAATAAAATGTTATAATAACGCCTGCTATCTCGAATAAAATTGTTGCATTCTCATAGTGGGTGTAGGGTATTAAGTGTGTTCAAATTAATGTGGTGAAGTTATGCATTGGCTTCTGATATCAATGTTATCTATTTGAAAAAACCACCAGCAAGAAAGATAAGAAAGTGTTTTGCAAAAACCTTGGTTTATATGAAATCTAGAACTTTTTATTCGTCCATTTTTCGGCAAGACTAAGTCTTTGTGATTCAGATGAATAATTTCCGAAATGACCTAATCTTGTATCCCAACACTTTGGGTGACAGATAATAATGGATGACCCGTTATCTAAATTATCGGGTTATTCAGAGTAGGTACATCCTAAGTAGTTCGCAGTATGCTGCTAACTGGTAAATCGATAAAGTTAAACTATAATTCAAACTTTTATGTAAAGCAAACTCCTGACTAAAGTTTCTCGCGACGCCAACAAAAGAAAGTTGATGCCATGCTATAAGACGGTTGAATTTATGGATAATTTTAGTTAACGGTGTCATCTAGAGTTCGAATGCCCAGAAAATGTTCGGACTTCGGCACTACATGCTACTAAAGCGTACCACACGATTAGAAATACGTAGTTGGGTACAAAATGTCACAGTAATAAATGTTAGTTCACTGCTTGACATATTTCTAATTTGGTTAACCTTTTTTCGTAGTTCGTTATCAGTATATCCAATATCCAATATCCAATATCGTTTTTACGAGCTAGTATAAACCAATTTGATTTCTTTGTGCTCGCTTCTTGATTGTGAGGTATAGGTTCTTGATCTTCGGTAAACTTCTGCGTAGCTTGTCCCGCCACTCGACTGTCGTAGCTTTGGTTGACTCCAAAGGGAGTAGTGCTGGGATTAATTATATGTGGTTTGTAGTATGAGGTATGTTAAGACTGTTACTACTGTGATTGGAGTTGATCCTTTCGCCAGTTAGTCCTTCGGTATTGTCGACAAGAGAAAAGAGATAGTAATAATAATAATAATTAATAATAATAGTAATAATAATAATAATAGATATAATTAGTGAAGCTATTCAGACTAAGAGACAGAAACGAAAATAGGAAACGTAACAACAGTCAGCTCATGAAGTTTGAAGAATAATATATATATCGTAATTTTTTTTTTAGTAATAGTAATTATAATATTAATAAGTTGTCAGGAGAGTAAGACGGGAGAGAATGTAAAGAAGTAAAATGACGAGTTTAATTATCTACCCTGATTGGTAAATGCGATTTTAAGGAGATAGGCCATTTGGATGCAGTCCTTGTATCGCTGCATGGTTGTCCAGCCTTCGCTTAAAGGCGTCCAAAGACGGTGCCATAGCTACATCTGCCGGTAAGGAATTCCAGGGACGACAAACCCGCAGTGAAAAGAAGTGGGAGCGCACCCGGGTCCTTGCCCTCTGGTGAGCTATCCTTCTGGGATTTCCACGTGGAAGCCTATACCTACTCAATGGCAGAACACCTTTGTTTGGGTGATTCTGGTCATTTGTTATTTTGTAGGCAGTAATCAAATCCCCCCTAAGCCGACGGTAACTAAGTGTGAACAGGCCTAATTTCTTCAGCCTTTCATCATATGGTTTGTTTCGGAGACCAACCACTCCTTTTGTTGCCCGTCGTTGGACTCTTTCCAAGAGGTTGGCATCTCTTCTCAGCATTGGGGGTGCAATAATATTATGCACCTCAAGGTGTGGCCTGACGTATGTTTTGTACAACATTAGAAAGAGCTCAGGAGTGAGTGCACCTAACTGTCTATGCGTAAAGTGTATGACCGCATATGCCCTCGCTACATCCCCTGTGTAATTTACGCTTGTGTCCATTTTTTCCGTTAGAACTAGACCTAAGTCGCGTTCCGACGTTGTGCAGGACAAGCTTTCATTGCACAGGGTGTAACTTGCATTCTGCAGTCTACAGGTGCGCAACTTCACTACTTTGCACTTTTTCAAGTTGAAAGTCATGCCACTGGCCACCGCCCAGTCTTCCAGAAGGTTTAGGTCTTCCTGTAGCCTATCTGAGTCCTCCGGACACTTTATCGCCCTCCATATTTTTACGTCGTCAGCGTACAGGAGAGTCGGGCAGCTCAGACGGCGTGGTAGATCATTGATGAAAATCAAAAACATCAGTGGTCCTAGGATAGAACCCTGCGACACTCCTGATGACGATCTGTGCCAAGATGATCGGACTCGGTTAACCTTAGTGCAAAATTGCCTGTCGGCTAGGTAGTCCTTCAACCATGACAGAAGTGGCTCACCTATGCCTGCCTGTCTTATTTTATGTAGGAGAAGGTCATGGTGAACAGTGTCAAATGCCTTCTCAAAGTCTAGGAAGACCACATGGACTGGTACGTTCAAGTCCCAGCATGATGTCCAGTCGTCCCAAGCTGACAGTAGGTTAGTGACGCAGGATCTGCCTTTTCTGAAACCATGTTGGGCTTCATGCAGTATATTAGTCCTATCGAAATATTCCCTGATGTGGTCGTCAATAATACTTTCCAGTACTTTTGATACCACTGGGAGTAGAGCTACTGGTCTATAGCTAGCAGCGTTTTGCCTGTCCCCACCCTTGAAGATTGGAGAAAGGATGGCTCTTTTCCACTCCCTTGGCAGGGTCCCCGAATCCATTGAGTGTTGGAACAAGTCGCACAGGGGTCTACAGAGAGCCTCGGCGCACTGTTTCAGAACAGATGGCCTGATGTCATCACAACCTGGGGACTTCCCAGGTATGAGTCGCTGTAGCTTCCTTAGTACTATTGCGGGGTTTATTTGGGGAGTAGTCGCTAGGTCTTCCTCCTCTGAAATAGTGGTGCCACCATTTTGGTCCGTAACTGTAATATCCACATTGCTGTTTAGCTGTTTAGCGAAGGCTGAACTGAATGTTTCAGCCATCTCCAGACTAGTGAGATATTGACCGTTTGGGCCTACTAAGGCGCATGCCCCTTGGTTTGTCGGTTTTCTTTCCGACATGAATCGGTACAAGTTTTTAGGGTTTGATAGGAGTTTTTTAGCAAGGTTAGCCTGGAATGACCTTCTGTCCCTCCTAACTCTTGCATTACACCGGTTCCTGAGTTCGAGGTATGCATCATGGTCGGTCTGACTCTTAGATACACGCCACGTAAACCAAGCCCTCCGCTTTGCTTGCAGAATACGTTGCGTGCCTCTCTTCAACCATGACGTCTTTCTCTTAGGCTGTGTTGTGACTAAAGGGACGGTATCCGAGATTGCTGCATGGATAATCTTTTTTACCACTTCCCAGTGTTCATCCACAGATAGGTCGTCCCATGCTAAGGGCCAGTCTGCGTCGGACAAGAGCCTCCGCATTTCAGCATAGTCAGCCTTGCTGTAGCACAGACATGGTCGCGTAACATCCCATTGCAAACGCTCACGGAGGACAAGATCGAAACCTATGACTGCATGGTCACTGCTTCCCAGAGGAGTCATGATCTGGACCTTTTCGACGAGTAGCTGGTCACTAGTTAGAATATAATCTAGTTTTGATGACTTTCCACTAGGGCCCCACCTAGTGTCGTCTCCAACATTCTCAGTCAGTCCCGTGTTTCGAATAGTTTGCAGTAGGTTTCGGCCAAATTTTCCCTTAGCACACCCGGAGCCAAGGTTCAGTGATGGAGCATTGAAATCTCCAGCTATGGTGATTTGGTCGTAACCCAAATCTCGTATTCCTGTGATAGTGCTGAGCAGTAGCTGATTGTGCTCTGCCCCACAGGTGGGAGATCGGTAGATGCCACCCAGTAAGTGCTTGGTGTGGCCTACGGTGAAATGACACCATATGGAGTCTGGGAGTTCGATAAGTGGTGGGTCCGTTGCGCGCACACATTTAAGTTGCCTATCAAAGTATATAGCAACTCCCCCTCCTTCCTTATTATCCCTGTCTCTCCTGACCAGTACCATATCACCTATACTGATTTCATTGTCGGCGATAGTGGGGTTTAGCCACGTTTCAGTAAGAATGATTATTTTCAGTTGAAGGTGTGCTTGGAGATTTCGGAGTTCACCTACTTTCCCTCTCAGCCCCCTCACATTGCTATATAGGCAACTGACAGTGAGTCTAACAACCTCAGAGTGTTGTGGGGTAGTTGACGTGAAACCGTCTGCTGGTGGGGGACTTGATGTTGGAACTAGTTGGCCGATTCCGATAGAACCGGCCCGTTGTAGTTTTTTTCAATGGATTTAGGCAGGACACTTGGGAGACACAGACTATTATTCTCAGAGCTGCATCGCTCTAGTGTCACCGAAGCTTGGGGTCGTATTAAAGCCTCAGTTTGCTGCCTCCTTATATTTCTGGGTCTGCTTTCACAGCATCGGATGTGTCCTCCAATTTTTCCCTTGGTCTCATACCACCGTTGAAGTGATATGGACAACTGCTCCGGGGAGTTGAATGTGACACACAGCAGCTTTGGAGAGTTAATCAATGTTAGATGAGCGGGACGAGGTAGTCGGAAAATGGAGATGGCTCCAGAAGCGCCAGGGGCCATCTGAGATGACAGCCATCTCCATTGTTGTACGTCGTGCATGTGTTTTTCACAAGCAGTGCCGGTTTCCAGCTCCGGAACACCGTGTACCACCATAGAGGTGGAAGGCATCAGTTCCGGTGACTCCCTCGCCATATTTCTGACGGCCCATGGTCTATCTTGCCGCGCTCTTATGTTAGAACTTCTGTCCAGGGCTAGTACCTGAGCCATTAACAGTACTTTTTCGGCCTCTTCGGCAGAGTCCAGTGTAACCCGTAATGGGGGTGGCTTACCCTGAGGCGTGTGGACACCCCTGTACAGTCTGCACAGTTTTGCTGAACTAATGTTCAGACCTAGTTTGCCGCACAG